AACTTTTTTTTTTTTTTTTCAATGAACCTCTGGCAGCCACAGTCACTTTGCAGGGTTTGGGTGGAGACAAAGTAACTCTTAAAAGAGTTTAGAGAGGGTCTTTGCCAATACACCCTTCTGAATCTGGTAACTATGGGCCAAAATTACACTTAAAACACCACCACATGAATTCCCATGACATCTGTGTCACAGGAAAGGAACACTATCAGCCAAGTTGGCTTCTCACTTTAACATTTTTCTCCTGAAACGGCACGTATCCAGCATCTTTAATGCTTCACAGGTAAAAGGACCTCCTGCCCTCCCCTGCTCTGACATTTACAGAGCAGCAAATGGCTCCGTTAAAGAGAAAATACGGCGGCATAAGAATAAAACTGAGCTGTTAGCCACAAGGACCAGCCTTCCTGACCTTAAAACCCAAAGCTTCTCTAGCTGTGAGCCAGTAAACAGAGGGAAAAGAACCACAAGAACTTGTACCATTGCTGTAGGAATACAGCGACATTTTGGGAAGTCCAGCAGCATCAAGAACCTGCTCGCCCATGTCCTTCCACTGCTGGAAAGGGATTGACCTGCTGTCCACGCAAGCATGCAACCTTCTGCCACGCAGATAGAAGCCAAACTCAAGCCACAGACATCTCCCCTTCTCCCTGTGCCAAAACAGCACGTATCTGGGATGGGCAGACACATCCGCGTGGAGCTCCTCACAGAGGGAAAAAGGGCCGGGTGCTTGCCAGATGGGTCTTTCCCTGCAGAAAGTTACAGCAGCCATCTCCAACACTAAGCGTGGTAGCCCAGGAACACCATCGACCTGGAACGGGATTATTGCAAGGAAATCAACAGCTTACCAGAGCTCCTGAGCCCGTCCTACCCCAGCTCATCTTGCAAGCAGCTTTATATATTCATGTTTTTCAACCTAAGGAAGCCAGCACCCTCAAGACACAGGGAACTCAATGAGTCCCCTACCTGTCCCCTAGCAGCTGCTTCAGTTAGTGGTGGTGGTGTACTCCAACCACACATGCTAGAGAGGTGTTCAGTTCACACATGCAAACCTTGATCGTTATGGGATAATCCTCAACTTCTCACAACACGATGGATGTAGCAAGAGTACAGCAATACCACTCTTAGAACACGCTGCTTTCAAGTCTCTTGATCTTACACACAAATAAATACCTCTTGTTTCTACCCATGATCAGCGCCGTGAGATTAAGAGGCTGATGGGTTGGAGGGCCCTGAACCAGAGTGAGAGTTGAGTGATCTCCAAGCAAGCCAGCCCTCACTGGAGGATTGCAGGAGAAATTTCCAGCTGATTATCATCTAGCATGTAAGGACTTTAAGAATTTAGATGCAACATGCAAGGCCTTGCACTGTGTGTCACCCTTCTACTGCTTCAGGCCTTCCAGCTTTCACACGTTCCCTGCTCCTACAAAGTGACAAAGCTGGTCCAACTTTTTTCAGATTTTTTTTCAGAATTCAAATTCATATGAAGAAAAATGTAAAAATTAATGTTGGTATTCCTTACTCTAACACTTAACATGTAATAACTTTTTTTTTTAAAGCTTTCCACTGAAAGATGTGCACAGAAATCTGAAATCAAATTCAGTCTCTGGCACTCTGAGAAGGCACGTCTGTGTCTGACAGACATAACCAGCTCCCCAGCCAGCAGCCTGCCAGGCCGCGTTTCCAGGAGGCCTGCCAGAAAAGCTGGGAACAGGAAGGCTGAGGCTCACACATCCACACACACTGGCAGACAGACCAGCCCCTGAGACACCGTCAGTCTGAAATTCCAGTTTGTTGAGTTACCTGCCTGGCTCCTGCAGAGAAGCCTCCTGAAAACAGAAATCTGGATGAAAAAGCTATTCCTAAGCAGCAAATTTTGCAGATTTGTACAATTGTTAACGCAAAAACCAGGTTCAAAATCTGAACAAAAAGCCTCGATCCTGCGCACAACATGCTCTCTTATGATGTATGTAAGTCTCTTCCTGTTCCTGCACCGGACTTTGAAATTCAAACACACTGGGAAAGGTGCTGTCAGAACCAGAATCTTTGCCTGAAACTTAACCAAATACACAGTCTCGCTGCTGCAGCTACAGGGCTTTAGCTTGACCACAGCAGACAAGAACAGCATCAAAAGCAATTCCTACAGCAATGAAACAGAAGTAAAAACCCATCCCTGCCTACAGACGATGCATTTCAATTGCCTTGTCATCTGTTATCAACTTCAGGATCTACCTACGTTATCCTACAGCTCATTAGAGCCAGCTATTAATACAGTGACAAACGAGTGGACTGTCTATTCAAGCCTCAGAAGAAGACAAGTGTTCTTCCCCCAATCACTTAAATCTATTTCCACCTCAAAGCTTAGGACAGAAGGTTTGAAATCCAGAGTTACACCTTTCCCCCTCCCCAGCTCACGTGTAAATACCTACTCAGAAGTTTGGTCTTACCCCACATCTCCATCAAGGCTATCTGAGCCTAACGGGAGCTATAATGTTCCTATACAGCCTACAGCCCTGAAAGTCACACAGTGCATGACGTTTTAGTGACAAGGGAAATGGAGGTACAGAGGTGAAAAAAGCATTTAGTAGAATACTGTAAGACTTCAGTTGAAGCCAGAAAGGTATAAACTACTGCAACTGCTTTGGACATTGCTAAAAAAGCTCCCTCTTCTGGCAAGCTTGGAGAAAGGGACTAGTATATAACTGACGAGTTACCAGTACTACTCCAGGTGGTGCAGAGTTAGTCACAACCCTCTAAACACCGGATTGCTGCTCCAGTTCTACCTAGAAATCAGCATTTTGTCCCCACTTCATTTAGATCGGGATCTGGTAAGTTCACTCCAAAAGGGTTAACAGAAGCTGGAAGAAAGGCAACAGAATTCCTCCCATACCAAAGGTGGGAGAGAGGCTTTCCTGGAATACATCTTGCCAAAAAAAAAAAAAAAAAAAAAAAAAAAGACCTCCACAAACACTGTCTTTTGTGATTTTATTAAGAGATGTTTTCAGGACAGTCAAGCTTCTGGTTGCAGATACAAACCCTATAACGAAAAACAAAATACTGAGTGAGATGGTGGCAAACCATTTCCCGTAACCGTTCTCCTACCCAAAACACCTGAACAAACAAACAGGCTCCAAGTTTTCAAATTAAATGGCATCTTTCACTTCTTGCGTTTTAGCCCACGATCCCCCTTTTTCCCACGGGAGCAGAGCTTGCTAGTCAGATTCCCTTGTTTCACTGTTGCCCTGCAAACTCCCTGAACGCTCTCCCTGTTCACACAAGGCCAGCAGCAGTCAGAGAACAACACAGCCTGGCTTTTGCTAGCAGCTAAGGAAGTCTTCTCCAAGAGGCCTTAGGCCCCGTGCCTCCTGCTGCTACAATCGGAGAATGCGAGCAAAACGTTTAAAAAGCAGCAAGTTGCACGTTTCCACTGGGAACAACCCAGAGCAGGTCTCAGACAAAATCTGTCTGAGAAGCTACTCATTCAGGGAGACAAGATTTCAAACCCTGATTATTTATTTATGAAACCAGACTACAGCATCGTGTTCAACATTACTGGCTTCTAAGTCTATCCCAAGCTGGATCCCACGAGGGAGGGGAATATCGGGAATATATACCCTGTGCTGCCAACTGCAAAAAGACAGGAGGGTGGTACAACGTGAAAACATCCAAGGCACCAAGCCCTTCTCAGACAAATGCCTCTGAGTCACTCAAGTTGTGACCCAAGGTCCCCAAGTCCATGCTGTAGAACACAACACGAAATGGGGCACTTGGACAAGGATATTCCCTTTCAGACTCGTCATCTCATCTTCACCGAAGGGTGTGCTTAGCTGGTTTGCAGCATGCCTTAAACCATGCCCCCCCTCATCCAGGGCAATACTCTAAACCCAACCCAGCTGATGGCTGCACCTGGTACAACGCTTTCTTCCCAGTACCCCAGCTACTCGACAGCTTTTTTGGTGACACAACACTTTTTCCACATGGATCCTCACCAAAGCGACCTCCCACCACTCCCAGGCACTTACCCCTCAGGCAGTGGGAACCGGCTGAGGCATGGCTGGCTGTTCTGGTTTGCCACCTTTCTGCTCTGAAATGGGGGTGGTGGGCAAGATCTCTTCTTTGGGTTCCACAATGCTGACATGGTCTGGCAGAGGCTTTTTGGGGCCAATCTTCCCACTTGGGTCCCAGGGCAACATAATTTTTACTTTGATCCCCAGTACTCCTGCAAAGAGTGACAGGACAACACAGACATGTTCATTCGACATACAATAGCAAGTGCCCATTCAGTAGTGACAAGCCCCCACATTACAGAATACGCTATCTGCATCAAAATCATCTCCTGACAACACTGAAGATGCAAGCTGATTAACCTAAACGTGCTATAGCTTAAAAATCTAGTTACTGTGAATTTACAGCAGCATATTTACCTTCATCCAATTCATTGCCTTTGCTAACTGCAGCCTGGGACTATGATGAAAACGTGCTATATCCTTAAGTCATGCTGTGGTTTTTAAACCGTCTTTCCTGGGATAACTCAGCTCACTTTCCAGGAAATTGCACTGGTTTTCTGCATCCCTTCTCAGACAAATGCCTCTAAATCATCCAATGAATAGGACATCCTGCCCAAGGCAGCCTTAGCACAGCACCACAGAACATGGCACTGAGCAGGCTGCAATGACGCAAGGACATCCCTTCTGACTCGTCATCGTATCGTCACCGAAGGGAAGGTGGAGACTAGCTTCATCCACGCTAGTAACCCTACATCAGGTGTTCTGCAATCAAGTAACCCAAAGCCAATTAAGATGCAGAAGTCATTTGTGTTTTACCTGGGGGAAGGACAAGTGCAAGCAGGCTTGGCTGGTTTAGCTGGGAAGACTTACCAGGGCACAGCTATGGGGGAAAACTGTCTGACATTTGCTTCTTCCTGGGTCTCATAGCACCCATGTTGTCTGCCTACCCCTACGAGCCAAGAAAGCCAGAATCCAAACTGCCAACAGCTCTTAGACTCAGTCAATTTGAATTTCATCTAAGTCGTTTTGCTACCAACCTCAGGGGACGTGAGAGAGAGTACCTGGAAAATCTGAAGCCACATTCTCAACTGGAGACATTTAATTCCTGCCACTAGAAAAGTGGATGACCTGGGATGACTACAGAAAATTCTGTTGTCTGCTGAAGGCCTCTCCTCCATTTCCCATTCATGTAACAAAAATACAAATAAAGTTCTGCTTCAGATGCAATGTGCAAACTCCACAGAGAGCGCTCAGTTGCAAAAACCCAAGAAAAGGAGATTTTCAGAATGAGAACTAGTGATAGCACAATGGAACCACTCTGCAATATCAGCGGTGCACCAAAATCACGTGAGTTACCACCCCACAGGTGACAGAGGGAAGGCTCCAACCTGCAGGCACAGGACACCAGGAGTTGAGATCTTCTGGCTCTGAAGCACTGAGAGAAGGAACCAACAGAGCTGCAAAGGGTTCTGTATCCCAGCCACTCACCCTGCCGGAGAAGGACGTGACGCACGGCCGTGTCGACGTAGTAATTCACCGGGTCTCCACTGTGGATCATCAAGCCATCCACAAACTTCATGGACTTGGCACGCTGACCTCTGAGTTTGCCAGACACAACCACCTCACAACCCTTGGCGCCGCTCTCCATGATGAAGCGGAGGACACCATAGCAGGCTCTGCAGAGAGAGAACAGCAACACCCACAGCTTTACCCCCACTCTACCAAGTGGAGGCATTTTACACCAATTTCAAGCACAACCACGCTTCAACTTTTGTTTGTAAAGTCTTCCCAACGTACACCCATGCTACCAAAGCTCTGTCAACGCTATGCAAAGCAGCAAAAATATTTACACCCGTTTAGCACTGTCAAGCCCAGCCTAATGAAACTCTTGTGACTTATGGTCCTTGTAAGATTGTGGAAACAGTGACAAGCACATTCCTTGTAACACAAAAGCAGCTCCACAGCTGAAGGTGGCCAACACAACGACGGCAGGAGTGCAGTTCCCCATCCCTTCTCAGACAAATGCCTCTAAATCGTTCAATGATGACAGGATGCTCCT